ATGCATGCACACACATACACTCCACAAGCTCAAGTATACATAAATATGTTGCACAACCATATGCACACAAAGGTTATTGCTTTTTCAGATTTGTTTTATTTTAATTCTAATGTCAAATTTACTTTACGTAACAGTTTAATGTTAGTTTTTGGCATTTTTCTTTGGAATTTTTATTAGGGATGCACCGATATGAAAATTTTGGCCGATACTGATAACCGATTATTCTTTATTTTTGAAAGCCGATAACCGATATGTTGGCCGATAAATCTATATCCAAATTGTTATATACTTTTTGAGAGCCTGATTACAAAAAAGGTCTCATCATTAAAAGCCACATCCCAAACACTTCAACATAAGCAGCCTAGTTTGAACGGTGTACGTTTTAAAAATATTTTTACTCTCCCATTACCAAATTTAGTCATAAAAAAGTCTTACAAATAAATAAAATTATGCATAAATAATGCAAACTAGTCACTGGACATCATTACACGTGTAAAGAATCAAAATGAATGCGCCATAGATCAATAAAACGGAATAGCCTCTGCACGGACAATAATTAAATGATTTTAATTACTAAACCATATTGTTGATGAAAATAATAAGAGAAAAATACAAGTGGTTGTTGTTATTAATAATGTATCAATGATTTTGAAAAAGTAACAAATTAATACCACTGTTTTAAATAGCAGCCGTTGAGCTGTGCGTGCTGAAGCTGAAGAGCTGAATGAACATGGTAAACTGAAGCGTTTTGCTGGCAGCTTATTTAATTCAAGGAAATGCATCCTGAGATTAATATTAATACAACATAAACATAATATTACAACTTATATATGTACAAAATGATGCAGTTATTGCGTGCTATAGTCAGAATGTGTGATCCTGTTGTGGATGCGCTCTTCCCTTAACAACGCGCTGAAACACGGCAACTAAACCCATAGAATTCACAACGTTTTATTATAATAATTTTCTCATTAGAATGTTATATACACATTCCCAATCATAGTTATTAATGGTGTGCACTGCTGTTTGAGTTTATCACTGGTAAACTGAAGCGCTCTTTTAACTTAACCAAACGCATTCTATATGAGATAAATCAGATATACATCATATATAAACACAATATTACAACGTACAACTGCACAAAAGGCTGCAAACGAACAGCGCGCATCTGAAGTGTCTCTGAAGGAAATAATGCATTATTTATCGGCTTTAAGATATCGGCCAAATTTTCTTATTGGGCCGATACCGATAACAGAAAAAATGAGCATTTATCGGACGATACCGATATGGTGGCCGATATATCGTGCATCCCTACTTTATGTACTTTTTAGTTAGCCTTGTCTAGTGGTTATTTATACCCATTTAAAACATTTAAATACAAATTGCTGTTTATTAGTTATTTTCCTGCAGTGAAAATGATAGTAAAAAATTATCTCTTCTTGTCATTTCCAAAAAGCTGTAGAAAATGTGAATTATGTACAATCCGATTTGTACTGTTACACATTAAACAATTTTTGGCCATATCAAGACAATTAGCTAAATGTTTTATTATATAAATAAACATGCTAACAAAACATGTTTGTGTGGAACAAGAAGTTGCATCCAAATGTAGAGGGTTTCAAATCTACTACTTATGAGGTTTCCTTTCAAGTAGGATGTTGCCTTTGAAGGTAGCGGACTATGTAGTAGACAGCAAACCAGCTCACTAGTCTTGGAACAGAGCCTAGTGATCAATCTGGAGCAGCTGAAACAAGCAAACAGGCTTTCCGAGAGATACAAAAGATTTTGCAACCACTTTACTCCCAAAACAACTTTAAGAATTTTTGCCGTTCCACTTCTATTTCACAAGTGAGGCTTAAGATTCTGGCAGGGAATCAAAACCAACAGCATGTAGTTCAAACATAAGCACCTCATGTAAGCCCAGAAGCTAAGCTCCACAGATCTGCCTCCTTACAGAAACTGGAACACAAACTGATCAAAGCAGGATTATCCTAACCGTTTTACACTCAAGGCAATGCAAAGTGAACACAACATGGTGTGGAAATACACGAGACTGATGCCACTACAATATTGGCGCTTTTCCACTGCATGGTACGGCTCGGTACGGTTCACTTTTGGGGGGTTTTCCACTGGGTACAGTACCTGGTACTTTTTTTAGTACCACCTCGGTTGAGGTTCCAAGTGAACCGTACGGTTACCAAAACGTGACTCTGCTGATCACGGATTGGCCGGAGAGAATCGTCACTACCTGCGTCACTGAACTTGCGACACAAACACAACAGAACCGCTAGATTTAAATCAGCACAGCCAGCGAAAGATCGAACGCAATTGTTTTGAACGAGCGCGCCTTTTTTTAACAACCAAAAAGTTGTTGTCGTCCATTGCGGAAGAACAGACGTTCCTCTCGTTGATAGCAGACCGGATCCAGCGAGAGCTTGATAGGGCGACGCGGAATGAAAACGTTTTTTTTTTTTAAGGAGTAGTGGTAGTAGAGGCGGCGCAACTATAACGACATGTGAATAATCCCGCCCACTCTAAAGCGGTACTGAACTGCAGTGGAAACGCAAACCGAGCCGAGCAGAGTCGTACCACGCAGTGGAAAAGCGCCATGTGTGCAACACATGTGTGGGTCCTCACTTGAAGGGGTGGCCATTCTCTGACTTCTGAACAGCCTGTAAAATGCCTTTGTACATCCTGAAGGAGATGGTGACAGACAGCAGGGCAAGGCCCACGTAGGAGATCACGCTGATAATACTGCACACACTGAGGGACAGCAGCAGGAACAGACTGGCTCCAAACACCACCCCCGTCCTCTGCAGATCTCGCCAATACAGCAGGTCCACCACTGCCGACAGAAAGGAAGAGTTACGTCAGCCCCAAACAGTCAGATGAAGCAACTTTCTGCTTTAATGCAAAAAGGAATGAACACTTTTTACATGCACATTTTAACAGTAAACAGTGTGTGAATGAGAGTTACGGAGTTAAATTACTGTGCAGAATCACTATCATGGAACTATAGCATATAATTATTTTAATAAAAATAAGTTTGAGTGCTTGCATTCAGCAATTTTGTAAAAAGTTATATTTTACAAACACAAATTAACAATATTTTTTTAAACATTTTTATACGCACATATAAAGCAATTAAGCACATGAATTAAGCAATTTCGTAAAAAATACATTGGAACTCCCTCTATATAAAACTTTTAAAGGGGTCATATGATGCGATTTCAAGTTTTCCTTTCTCTTTGGAGTGTTACAAGCTGATTGTGCATAGATAAGATCCCTGAAGTTGCAAAGACTAAAGTCTCAAAACCAAAGAGATAATCTTTAACAAAGTTAAGACTCTGCCGCGCCCCCCTAAAACGGCTCGTTCTAACACGCCCCCACATATCTACCTCACTATGTGGAAATATTTGCATAATGCCGCCCAAATGTGCACGCAAAGAAAGAAGGTGTGGTTTCAGTAACCGCAGTTAGTGTTGAAGCAGCATGTCAGGGAGACGCTGTGTGTTTCTAGGCGAAAGCAAAAGCACTTTATTTGGCCTTCCGAAAGTAGATGCATTTAGGAATCTTTAAGATTACTTACAACAGAACAGCAATGCATTTTATGGATGACCGTTTCGTGAACCTAGGAGAGGAGATAATTCTGACTTTGCTATGACAATCTGGCGCTTCTGAATCAGCTACTGTTTTGTTATTAGTTTAAGTATTTGCTATTGACTGTTCAAATGAGGAGTTTTGTGCGCACGCGCGCGTGCGCGTGTGTGTGTGTGTGTGTGTGTGTGTGTGTGAGAGAGCGAGAGAGAGAGCGAGAGGGGGGTCACATCACAGTGGAGTCAGATGTCTTAACCGTGGATTGTG